TCCACAAGCAAACCTCAGTTCTTTTTTAAGGTAAAGTGCCACTTCTTTTTTTTGTAGTATTTGCATGAGTTCACTTGCCACAGATGGTAAGAGGGGAAACGGTTTTAAAAGCTTACTGAGAAAAGAGTAGACTGTCCACAGGTTCTATCTAATTCATCAATCTTCAGAATTTCTGTAGTAAAAGTGATACTGTCTTGAGAATATTAACAGCTTCAAAGAGTGTGTGGTTGAGCTAAATGATGCTGCACTCCATCCAGGTACCATATCTCAGAAATATTAGAGATAGGCATCTTGTGTTGTTAGCTGCCATGGAGTCGGCCCCCAACTCATGGTGACCCCATGCACAACAAGATCAGACCATTATGATCCATAGTGTTTTCACTGGCTGATTTTCAGAAGTAGATCACCAGGCATCTCCTAGTCCATCTTAGTCTGGGAGCTCCACTGCACCACAGCAACACACAAGTTTTCTCTGATAGACAGGTGGTGGCCGTGCCTGAGGTGCACTGGCTGGGAATCAAACCCAGGTCTTCAGCATGGAAAGCGAGATTTCAACCAGTGAATCACCACAACAACTACAGAACTATTCTAGTGTTTCTATTATATGACTAAACTCTGAGCAATAGATGACTGTACCTGGCTCTGTGAGACTACATTCTTTTTCTCAAAACTCAGAAAGAACCACTAATACTATCGTAACCCTAAAGCAGGGTTTGGCAAACTATAGTTTGCCGGCCAAATGCAGTCCATCATCTGTTTTTGTATGGCACATGAGTTAAAAATGGTTTCTAAATATTTAAATGGTTGAAAAAGTTTTTTAAAGAATAATATGTTGCGGCATGTGAAAATTATATGAAATTCAAATTTCAGTATTCACAAATAAGGTGTTACTGGAACACAGACATGCTTATTTGTCTATGGCTGCTTTTGTGCTTCAATGGCAGAGCTGAGTAGCTGTGACAGACACTATATAGCCTGCAAAGCCTAAAACATTTACCTTCTGGTCCTTTAAAAGAAAAAGTTTGTCAACCCCTGCCCTAATGTGAAAACTGACCCGAATACAACTCACAGATTTAAGAACTGTTTAAGAGTCTTGAACACTACGACCCTCACTGACTCGACCAAATTTGAGCAATAACTAGGGCTATAATTGTGTACTTTGGATGACAAAAGTTTTTCAACAATTCCAGGGACTGTTTTGTATTAAGGGGCAAACCACCACCATCATCACAACAGCAACAAAACAGCTCAAATGTGTACGTTTGAAGAATTAAGAAGCTGTTCTTCACTTTTACAACTCATTCTTTTTTTCTAAACCTCAGGGTCAGCATATGCATATTACTTCTCTCTTATTTTTCCCTTCAAACACTGTATCAATCTTCAGGAGAATTTTAGTAGTAAGCTTTGTAAATCATGCTCGTTACGTGATATGTTGAAGAAAATAATCAAAACTGAATTTTTTTTTAGCAAACTTTGTCCATCACCAGCTTATGAATGCGTGGAAGATTCTAAAGTACTTGCCAAATGTGAGTTAACTGTTCTGCAAACAGGTGTCTGGGTCAAGAAAAAAATTTCATCAGATAAAAGACTGATCTGAAATAGAGGGATTTAAGAGACTCAACTCGTTTCCTGTGCAATCCCTGCCCTCCGTCTTTCCCTGGTGATGCCGTGGTTAAGTGTTTGGCTGCTAACCAAAAGGTCAGCAGTTCGAACCCACCAGCCACTCTTTGGAAACCCTGTGGCGCGGTTCTTCTCTGTCCTATAGGCTCTTGAGTCAGAATCAACTCGATGGCAACGGGTTTTTACTTTCTAGCTGAGGTCACATGACAGCATTGCTGACTTGTCCAAGTAAGAACAGCTATTTGGAGTCACAGTGACCAAATTGGTAGAATGAGGGGAAGTGGATAAACCACTCACTTCTCATTCTTGAATTATCCTTAGTTCAATGGAATCACAGATCAAGAAAATCAAAAGGCTGCTTTGCAGAAATAAAGTCACAATTTCAAAAGAGGTTCCCAGATTTTTGGCAAGACTGCTGCCACTAGAGAGAAGCACCCAAACATGGCAGCACTTGGGGGTAGTTTTTAATCAGCATTAACTCTAAAATGGAACTCCTGAAGAAAGAGGATCCAGCCCTTATTTTACACATAGTCTCCATAACTTCAGCACAGTATGTCACAAACTTCAATTCAAATAAATTAGTAGTAATCTGTCAAGTGTGACTATTCCTTGCCCTATATTTTCAGGTTATCGTGTGGGAGATTTATCTTTCCAGTCAACCGGAGATAGCTTAAATTAAAGCCATATATAATATTTACTCCCAGACGTGTGCTATTAAATGTACTGAACAATACTCAAAAATGATGGGCAAAGGTAGGGCACAAATAAGAGAGAAGCCATATATTCTGACATCTTATTTCTGCCTCTTCCCGTTTCTCCCTGAATGATAAAAACATACAACTCTGATACCATTGTCAGAAGAGGATGACAAATTTCAGCAGCCTAAAAGAATGATGCCCACCCAGCACCAGTTTCCATTTTGAATCAGTTCCTCCTAAAATGTCTCACATGAAATCTCTTTTTACAAATTCTTTACTCCTTCATGAAAATCTCTATTTCTATTGCCAGTAAGGATTTAAATGTGTCTGGAAGAATATTCATCAACACTGACAGATCTAAGAATGACTGACATCCAGAAAAAGGAAAAAAAAAAAAAAGTCAACATTTCAGCATATTACTCACTGAACAACTTCTTCTACTAAGTCCATCTGCATTAAATGAGTGTGCCAAAAACTGGACGTGCCAGCAGATGCGTACAAACACTGTTTGGTGCTATTCTACACTACTGAAAAATGAAATGCCAGTCCCTAATAGAATTCCATATTTTCTAAAATGGTAACTTATATAAAGGAAAAACTATAGATTCTTTACATTTAGGACCTAGAGCTATGAGCCCCAGATTTGTGTTCTCTTGGTTTCTAATTTGATTTTTCATATTTTTGAAGAGCAATTATCTATTTTAATAGATTAGTGTTTCTTAAGCAAGGATGTATGTCACAATCACTTGGAGGACTTCTACCAAGATACACATGTCCAGACTCCACTTGATTCACCTTACTAAATCAGATTACCTAGGGTGGGCCCCAGGTATGTGTATTTTGAAAATCATGCCAGGTGATTATAAGGTGCATCTCTAGTTCAAAATAACTGTTCCAGATTAATGTTTATATTAATAGAAAAATAGCTATGACACACATATGTACGTATATAGATCACTATAATTCTGCTTTATTCCTTACACTGTTATCTATGTGTTCTCCTTTTACATTCCATTGTTTTCTCTGAATCTGTCTTTGAAATTGTCTAGGAGCTTTCCATAGTCAGATAATCTTCCTAGATAAGTTTTACGCTAAGTAAATATGTGTTAGGTACTCTTCATTTGTGGGGCAAGGGGCCAACTCAGATCAGCAAATCTTTCCAAAACAATGCCAATCTAACATTCAGTCATTTAACAAATATTTATTCAGCATAGTCTGTATGTGGTGTGAAAGGCTGAGAAGAGTTCAAGAAGAACAAGACAGGGCCCTACTGCTCTCAAGAAGAATTTATAATATAATTAAGGTGAACATATATAGACACATAGCACCTTGGTATTTGAGAGAACTTGGTGTAGACTCAATATAGTATAGAAGGCGCTAGCATCGAGTTTCTGAAGAAGTTAGTTGGAGGAGGGGAGGATGACATGAAGTTAAGTACGTGCGTATGCGCTCAGACCCAACACAGATGGAGTCCAGGCCCTTTGTATATGTGGCAGGGCGAGGCCAGGAAGCAATTCCTGGTTTTGATCAGGAGCCCAGATGCATAAATTCTTCCATAAACTGCCACTAACTTCAGTTATGGGAAGGGCTTTGTGGATTATATCTACTAGGTTGTATTTCCAGGTTTTATAAATATTCTGACCTCCTGGGGACCCTATTTATGCTTCCACATTTACTCAGCCCTAGGAATTAACAATATTAATTCTACCTCTCGATCATTTCTTCTGTAACGTTAGGTTTCCCTCTAAGCCTTAAATTGCCATTGCTAAAAGTCTTCTGGAATAATTGAAAGTCAAACCTAAAACTGTAACTCCAACCCCAAATAGAAAGGACCTGAAATTAAGGGAGCCACATTGACAGCACTATAGCTTAACTGATCAGGTATCAGAACAAAGTTCCTAAAGCAAAGAACTGTTAGACTAAGAAACAGTCGTATCACAAGAATAAAGAGCAAATGGGGTTACTACACTTGAGGCAGAATCTTTCCTTTGTTGGGAATGTGCTGAATGCTTTAATATTTCTTCCTCTGACTTTCCTATGGATAAATGCATTAAGCATCACCACCTCAAAATATCACTGTGCTAGAAGCATTCTCTGTGGATTCTTTTTTTCTTTCTTAACAGCTTTATTGATATATAATTTGCATACCATAAAGTGCACATTTTAGAAATGGAATAGACTTTTATTCCATCCTCCACCTTGAAGCAGTGCTTCATTAAACTCACACAAGGATATAGTGTAGACATTTCTTAACATCTCCACGAAAACAGGACATCATCATGACCCTCTGATAATATATCCTTGTATTTTATTTTTTATCAGAGGGAAGAACATGTTGATTAAGTCCCTTCTATTAAAATTTAAATTATAGGAGTCTATAACAGTAATGGACTTTAATGCTATATTTCAAAATGGCTGGTTGAAAATATCATCAGAGGCCCTGGTAGCCTGCTTACTTTGTGGGAATCCCATTAGGAAGGGGTACTTCACTTAATGCATCCAAACCAAAAATCACAAATTCTTACAAACTGTCTCCCCAGTTCTTCCTGGACTATTTTCTCCACAAGATGACTTGCTTTTTAGGAGCTGTTGGAGCCTGCACAGATCTGTTCTTTTTCACCTCAGGGATGGCGTGAGTACTTAGTTAGGTTTTTCTTTCAAAAAAAAAAAACAGCAACTTACATGCTTTCACAGAACCTCGTCAGTGTGCTTGGCTTTTCCTGGTTGCGTCTTTGTTGAAACCAGCGCTGAATACTGCGAACATCCCAGTCCAGCTGCTTGGAGAGGCCTTCCAATCTCTTTTCATCAGGATGCTATGAAACAAGGTACCAGCAGATTTATTTTCAATCCATTTTCATCTTCCCCATAAACAGATCTCCTCTCATCTATGTTTGAGATATTTTCCCCCTATATTACGGCTCAGTGGTAGAATTCTCACCTTCCACGCAGGAGACCAGGTTCGATTTCCAGTCAACACACCTCAAGCACAGCCCCACCCATCTGTCAGTGGAGGCTTGCATGCTGCTATGATGCTGAACAGGTTTCAGTGGAGCTTCTGGACTAGGAAAAAAGGCCTGGCTATCTACTTCCAAAAAATCAGCCAGTGAAAATCCTCTGGATTACAACAGTATGATCCCATTATGCACACGGTCACCATGAGTCAGGGGCAATTCGACAACAGCTAACAACAACACTGAATGACTGTATTTACCAGTGAGGACCTACCTACCTAGGCCTTCCAGTAGCAACATGAGCATAAATAACCTCTTAGAAAAGTAATTTGTTATGAAATAACATTGAAAAATATGAATCTCACTCTAATTCTTGCATTTCTTCTCACCAGTAACGTACTTCCTAAGGGACAAGGAAAATTTGATGGAGCAGCAAACCGGTCAAGTCAGCCTCATCAGCCTGAATTTCACTGGTGAAGGCGAATTTGCAAAGAGGCATCATCCAAATATTTCTCTTCCTCAGGAAAAATGCTATACCTAACTGTCACATACCAGGATAACACAGAACAGATGAAAAGCACGGAAAAATCCCAAGATACCTCACTTTAGCCTAAGGTACCAGGCACAAACGGTTAAGTGTCTGTGGGAGAAAGACCTGGTAATCTGCTTCCGTAAAGAGTACAGCCAAGAAAACCCTATGCGACAGTTCTACTCTGACATATGGGGTCGCTATGAGTTGAAATAGACTCAGCAGAACCTAATAACAACAACAACCAGTTCCTCTACAAAACATGTTTTCTCTTCTCCTTTTTCATGCTCTGTCCCTCATTTTTCACTCATTCCTTTTCTTGGTCATTTCTTTTGATTAAATCCCTCATTAAACCTCTTACTAAGACTATGCGTTATTTGGAGAACAAGTGGAAAGAAAACTGTTCTGAGACAACAGGTGTGGGTTCAATTCCTCACTCCATTGATCTCTCTGAGCCTCAGTTTCCTCATCTGTAAAAAAGGGTTATTTATTTATCCACCTAAATGGGACTGTAGTGAGGTCCAAGTGTGAAAATGCACGTTAAAACACAAAATCCCTCCCCTCTCTTCAATATCTCAGCATTCTGCCAACAGTCACGCGGGGGTGACCCGCCACAACTAAACTAAGCCAAGTGAGTTCTATTCCATTATTTAGTCTACATTTGCTTTAATATTAGTGAGATATTAATAATCAGGGAAAATAATCAAAAAGAGGGTGGGGAAAAGCCAGCCTGGCCAGTCTTCAAGTTATAAGAGTGGACTGCACATACAACACCTTTCTAAATGCATCTCAGGCAGTTCAAGGGGTCAGACATCCAGGAAACACGGCAAACGTCCTGAATGTTAAAACTAAGGGTGCAAAATGCGCTGACCTTGTGTCTATAAAATTTATTTGCCGACTTTCAGTAGGGCATGTACTTTTGAGTTATTCTTTATTTTAGAAGTAATAATGCCATCTACTATTCTCCTTTCATGTCTCTCTTAATCAAAAATATGGAACAGAAAGAAAAAAACTCACCGCCTACAATATACTGTGGCCATACCGTTTTCCTAAAAGAATTCATTTTTAATTTTATTTTCTAGGTATACTGACATATAAAACATACATGGTTCACAAAGCAAAAATCATCCAAAGTTTCAACTTCTAATTGTGTTCCTACTCTCTCACTTCCTACTCTCCCCTTCCCACCAGGTAACCATGGGGATTAAACAAATTTCTTTCCAGAGATATTTATACAAATATAAGGAATTTTAATATTAATGCAATATCTTCCTTATCACGCAAACGGTTGCAGACTACATACATTGTTCTGGACTTTGAGTTTTTCACTTCACAACGTCCTCATTCTTTTGCACAACTGTAGGGATACGCCATATTTACTTATCCACTCCCCATCAATAGATATTTAGGTAGTTTCTAAACTTCCACTATTACACTGTATGCAATGCTAGATAGTAACCTTGTCATAGGTCATTTTGCACAGGTATATCTGTGGGATAAATTCCTGGCAGTTTACGTACTTGTAATTTATTCAGATATTAAAAAAAACTCATTACTGATTGTTACCAATTTATACTCTCATAAGCAATACTGCCCATTTCCTAAAGCCTCACCAACCAAGTATATTAGCAGATTTTTTACTTTTTTTCCCTATCTGATATACAAAATGTACTATCTGTAGTTTTAATCGGTATTTTCCTTTTATGAGAAAAGCACCTTTTCATGTGTTTTAAAAACCATCTATATTTCTTTTGTGAACAGTCTGCTCATATCTGTTGCCGGTATTTTTTTATTTGTTGGTATTTTCTTTATTGATTTGCAGGATTTCTTCATTTATTAGAGTGATTAAATCTTTGCCTGTCATAAATAACTTATTTTTTCCTAGTGTGTTATTTATTTAGAATTTGCTGATGGAGTTTTTTATTTGGTTTTTACTTGCATTAAGTTTTTAAAAATATGTATTTGAATTTATCAATTTTTTCTGCTACAGCTTCTGAATTTACGGTCATAATTAGAAATGCCTTCACTACCCCAGAATGTTCAAAAAAATTCTCCCTTATTTTCTTCTAATACATTACAGGTTTTAATTTTTACATTCAAATCTTTAGTGCATTTAGAATATATTCTGGTGAACAGTGTGAAGTATGAATCTAACTTAATTTGCTTCTAGATGACTACCCAGATATCCCAATTACCATCAATCTTTTCCCCGTTGAGAAAACAAGTCTGTTCTTCCACTGGTTTATTATTCATGTGCTAGTACCATACAGTGACAATTATCGTGACTTCAAACCACATCTTAATACCTGGAACAGCTAGTTGAAGATCTTCTTTTTCAAAGTTTTCCCAGAAACCCTTATTTTTCTATACGAACTTTATTTTATATAAATATATATATATTTTATTGTACTTTAGATGAAGGTTTACAGAACAAATAGTTTCTCATTAAAAACAGTCAGTACATATGTTGTTTTACGACATTGGTTAACAACCCCACGACACATCAACACTCTCCCTTCTCAAACTTGGGGGACTTTTTTTTTTTTTTCGGTGAAAATATACATAGCCAAAGTTACACCATTTCAAAAGTTTCTACATGTACAATTCAGTGACATCAATTACATTCTTCCAGTTGTGCTGCTATTCTCACTATCCTTTTCCAAATTATTCCATCACCATTATCTTCAACTCACTGTCCCCTCGGCTTCACATCAAACCTTTTGAGTTGCTGTTGTCAATTTGATCTCACAATTTTGTTTTTTTTTTTGGTACTTCAGATGAGGGTTTGCAGAACAAATAGTTTCTCATTAAACAGTTAAAACACATATTGCCCTATGACAATGGTTAAAAATCCCACAACATGTCAACACTGTCTCTTCGCAACCTTCGGTTCCCCTATTACTAGCTTTCTTGTCCCCTCCTGCCTACTAGTCCTTGACCTTGGACTGCTGTGCCTCATTAGTCCCGTTTTGTTTTATGAGGCTGTCCAATCCCTGGCTGAACAGTGAACTTTGGGAGTGACTTCACCACTGAGCTAAAACGGTGTCCGGGGGCCATACTTTCGGGGTTTCTCCAGTCTGTCAGGCCAGTAAATCTGGTCTTTTTTTGTGTGTTAGAATTTTGTTCTACATCCTTTCCAGCTCTGTCCAGGACCCTATATTGTGATCCTGGTCAGAGCAGTCAGTGGTAGCCGGGCACCACCTAGCTGTACTAGGCTCAGTCTGGTGGACACTGTGGTAGCTGTGGTCCATTAGTCCTTTGGACTAATCTTTTCCTTGTATCCTGTTCTCTTCATTCTCCCTTGCTCCCAAAGGGGTGAGATCACTGGAGTATCACTGGCTGCTCACAGGCTTTTAAGACCCGACACAACTCATCAAGGTAGAATGTAGAGCATTGTCTTTATAAACTGTGTTATGCCAATTGAGCTAGATGTTCCCCAAGACCATGGTCCCCACCGTCCCCTGCTCAGCAATTCAGTCCCTCAGGGAGTTTGGATGTGTCTATGGAGCTTCCATGGCCTTTCCTTGTATGAGCTGTGCTGGCTTCCAAAGTATTGTGTACTGTCTTACCCTTCACCAAAGTTACCACTTATCTACTGTATATTTAGTCCCACCCCCCACCCCTCTCATCCCTGGTAACCAACAGAGATTGTTTCTTTTTGTGGGCAAACTTTTAACTGAGTTTTTACAGTAGAGGTCTCATACAATATTTGTCCTTTTGTGACTGACTTATTTCACTCAGCATAATGTCCTCCAGTTTCATCAGTGTTATGAGATGCTTCACAGATTCATCATTGTTCTTTATCATTGCATAATACTCCATAGGGTGAATGAACCATAGTTTGTTTATCCATTCATTTGTTGAGGGGCATCTAGGTTGTTGCCATTTTTTGCTATTGTGAACAGTGCTGCAATGAATATGGGTGTGCATATGTCTATTCATGTGACGGCTCTTGTTTCTCTAGGATATATTCCTAGGAGTGGGATTGCTGGATCGGATGGTATTTCTATTTCTAGCTTTCTAAGGAAGCGTCACATCATTTTCCAAAATGGTTGTATCATTTTGCATTCCCATCAACAGTGCATAAGAGTTCCAATCTCCCTGCAGCCTCTTCAACATTTGTTATCGTCTGTTTTTTTGATTCATACCAGTAATGTCGGGGTGAGATGGTCTCTCATTGTGATTTTAATTTGCATTTCTCTAATAGCTAGTGATTGCAAGCATTTCCTCGCGTGTCTGTTGGCCACTTGAATGTCTTCTTTGGTGAAGTGTCTGTTCATTTCCTTTGCCCATTTTTTAATAGGATTATTTGTCTTTTTGTTGTAGAGGTGTT